GATCAATACTTGATAAATTATTGTAAGGTATCCACTCTAAAATTTCATAACTATTTTTAGCATTTATTTGTGCTTCTTGAATAAATTTATCAATAAATTTATTTTTACTAGTCCAATTTGAAAAATCTTGTTGAAATCGTTTAGTATTACATTGTTGACACCATTGGTAATCAGTATTTGGTAGCTTACATTCATTACAAAATTCAACTTTATTTTCCCAGTAAATAGTTTTCGTATAAATTTATACTCTATATATATCTAAAATATACAATATATCATTATTTTGTATTAAATTTATGCCGATCCAAATCACATCAATAAAATGATTTTACTAAATCACGTTAAATTTGTACTAAAATTGATATTCTAAGAATGAAATCATACCAAATTTATAATATGTACATATTTATTTAAAATATTTTCTAAAATAAATTCCATATAAATTTACATATATTTTAATTATGTATTCCGTATAAAATCATTTGACCGTAATTTGTACAAATTTTGTATAAAATTTGTATTACTCCTTCTCTGCACTTGAGAAACTTCCTTATGCCCATTTGGTTCTTTTTTACATGATTGACATTTACATTCTACTTTCATTTTTATTTTTAAAATTTTTAAAATTTTTAATTAATATAAAATATGTAATAACCTAGTTAGTTATATATGAATGATTTAATAATGATCAAACAATCAATAGACAAATATTTTTTTGAAATTTTGAATTTGATAACCGTAAAGTAATGGCAATAAATCTGCACACGTGATTGAGAATGATTTATCAATTTTGCCATGACATCAAAATGAAACATTCGAAACTTTTTTACCAAAATGTAAATGTTCACTAAAAAGGAATGTATAATGATAAATTACAAAATACTGTACTTTTCATTTTATTAATCTACAAGTTTTAATAAAATGTTTATTCAATAAAATTTTAATATGATGAATATATATATTTTTTTTAGTAATATCTAGCATAAATCCTGTCTCTTATACACATCTAGATGTGTATAAGAGACAGCTTTCTGAATAAAAACGCCTTTTACACTTGCGTTTAGACTCTCTTTCATCTACTGCGGATTCAGAAAAGGATTTCGCTATCCCCCCTGTTGACGATCATCCATCACATGATGATCCATTGATTGATAATCTACCTCCTCTTCCATTAGCTATTTGGGCTTCTAAACACGAGGCTGATCCTAATCTCATCTTAGATTTATGTACCCCTTCTACACGACGCACCAATTGTTTACGCCCTTCACGGCGTACTTATAAATTTCTTTGTAAACGCGTATCCTCTATGATTTCCCCTGCATCTTTTAAACGTGCACAGAAAATTAAGACTAAATTGTCTTTTACGCGTCTGGTTTTATCTCCTTCTACAATACGTTTATTGGTTCCACCTTTATCACGTCCTTCCGAACCTATAAGTCCCTTTCAAAATACATTCCTAGACTCCTCTCTTATTACTCCCCAAATTTCAGTTTCAGAAGATACTGCTGATTATGACATTAACGTCCCTTCTCCAGTCCTTTCTTTGAATTGTACACCTGCGGAACCTTTACCGGCAACTTCTACTTCAGCCCATCTTCTTCATGATAATGTACAGTGTTCATCTTACACTTTCACTATATGTACCATCCTGGATGGACGGATACATCCTGCTCGAAATATTGGCTCTAACCGTTTATATTCTATTCGACGAGGCAACTGTTAATTCCTTTTGGACCCCACTCCTGATTCGGATAATTGTTATTCAATTCATACCAATTCTCCTCTTCTTTCAACTACTGAGCCATTTCAATTTACATCTGATCGTCCCTCTCCTAATTTGAAATTTATTTTATCAAAATTTTTAACCTTTTTCTTTTACCGCCAGAACCGTATTCCCTCCCGTGCTCGACGTAAATATTTTAATAGGTTACGCCAGCTTTTATTAACACAATGTGTTACCTCTCTTGCTCGTTGGTCATCTTCTCATCGTAATAATAGACGTACTCGTACCTTTATTCAATTTCGATATCGTCAATCTTGCTTTTACCTTGGCCTTTATTTTGGTTGCCCGTTTTGCAAGACTCCTGCTGCCTATGTTATGTCTCAATTTCGTCATGCTTGTCATATTCATGACAAAAAACTTGTTCATACACCTCCCCCTCCTCCTTCTCCTCCTTTTGCTTTACCTTGTAACCGTGTGTCTAAAAGACACGCTGATGGTTTTTATAAAGATGTAACTTCCCGATGCCTAGGACTTTTCTACCGCAAATCCTATGCTTTTCATCATGTTCTTGAGGACGACAGTGGTTCACTTTCTGCTCGAACTCTTATCTCATATTCTGCTCACAAATCTATCTCCCACCCTACGAAGAAACAACTTGCTCGTCAAGTACGCCATAAAGACCTTCTATCAGACTGGAGCAAATTTTCACGACATGTTGTTCACTCCGATCTTCTTGACTCTTCTATGTGGATGGCCACTAAGGATCCTGCTATAGTCATTCCTCCTACCTCCTATAATTTGACTATGTCTACTACTGATTACTCAATTGTCCAGAATATACGTAATCTTGTATCCTCACGTCCTGACGTTTCCTTCTGTTTAAAAGAACATTCACATCAATCTTCTGTTGCGTTCGTGTCTTCTAAGTTTACGGGTTCTATCCAAAAAGTGGTTTTGAATCCCTCTTCTGTAGTTGCAAGTCATTTTATCACTGACAAACCCACCTCTGGTCCTTTTGTTGGTCTGAACTGCCTTGCTATTGATTATCAAGATTTCAAAACTCTTGGCTTTAGTCGTTCCATTATTGATATGGTCTGAAGGATACTCTCGAATAGTGCTTCCATTTATGTACCTTCTCACAATTTCCTCTGGTTATTAATTTCCAAGCACAACACTTCCTCGGTATCGAAGAAGTATCTTCGAGATGCCATCCAATCTATTATCACCAAATCGGCTTCATCTTCGACATTTTCACATCTTTGGAATAGTGATACCCGGTTTTCTTTCAAACTAGGTCGTGTTAAACCTTGTGATATCTTAATGTTATTGGATGTTTGTGCACCTTGGTTTGATTCACATCCTTACCCTGCTCCTTCTGATTTCCGAACATCGTGGGAATTACCCGCTGATTTTGTTCATCCTGTTTTTTTAATGCGCTAATTGCGCTAGTTTCTTATTAATTAATTACCTTCCTTTTATTATTCTTCTTTTACACTTCATTTCTTTCATGCTTATTTTAAGCTTTCCTATTCCTTTCCTCTTTCTTTATGAATACAAATTTTATCATTCTGTATCGAAAATTTATATACAGCGCTTTAGCGATTGATGAATTTACTCTATTGAATTACAAAATTTTACAACATTTTATGTCAGCCAGAATTTACACATAAAACTTCGGTTAAAGATTAATTCGACTAGCTTGCTAGTGAATCGGCTGCTTCCAAATTACGTGGCCCATCTATAAATTCTTCTCCTATTGTTTCTTCTCCACATACAAATAACTCTTCTTTGGCGACAGTTTCTCAGGATTCCTGGATTTCTTGGATATCCTCTTCTATAATTCGGGGTGGATCATGGATCTCGCACTTGGATTTTCTGCGCCGCTTAACAGTTCAACCTCTTAGGATTTCTTTCTGGTAACGGACTGGATTTTTGGATGTTGGATAGTTGACTCACACTGGCCTTCGGGTAAAGTTGGGGTATGCGATTCTGTAATAGTCTAGTTTTTCTTTGCTTTAATTTTATTTTAGTTTAGATTTCTTTACTTGTATGAGTCGTGAAGCTACTCTTTTTATTTTTATTAGTTTATTTTCTTATTTTTGTAATATTGTTCGTTTGAATTTTCGATGTTAAAATATAAATAAAAATAATGTTATAAGACTGTTTGCAAAAGGAAAAGGATAAAACTAGGGTTGGTCACCCTATCTCGGTGGTTAGTCACTGAGACCCTCATTAAGCCTGAGTATGGTGAGGTCGCAGGTTCGATTCCCATGACCACGGAAATAAAAAGAATTTTACTGCGGACGCTACAACCAATAGCGTGAAGGTACAGGGATTAGTGTAGTTGGACTGCATCATGGTGAATTAGTGTGTACGGTTAGGCCGCACATTTCAACTAAGGGTCATGGTGTCCTTCTAACGTTCCCTATGAGGCCATTGGCATGTGCGCAGTCCTGTCCTTGAGGTCACTACTATACCTGTGTCTTATACACATCTAGATGTGTATAAGAGACAGATTTATGAGATATTCAGGATCCTGATAGGATTATTTAATAATAAAAAGCCAGTATATCTATAATTAGCCTATAAGAAATGATTATTTTTGATTTTTGAAATGTTTGTAAAATTCTTAAATAATAATATTAAAATTTGTGCTTCTTTCTTTAAACAGTATATTACAGAATATGATACAGTCAACTCTCTTTATAGTCACACATTTGGGACAGTCCATATTTGGTGATTATAAAGAGATGTGACTATATAAAAAATTTCTTATATTTGTATATCATAATTCCGGCCAAAAATTAACATAATTTTAGCCAGAATTATACTTAAAACTTTATTGTATCGTAACTTCGCCAATATTAATCGTAGAGAGATGATCTTACCGCCATTCGATTCGTCTTGATGAGACGGTTCTAATGGTATAAAATACGTCGAAATCCAATCACTAGATTAATTTCCGAAATTAAAAAAATATTAATGGTTTTTGTGTAATAACTCTGCCAATATTGATCCTAGAAAGACGATCTTACTACCATTCGATTCGTCTTGATGAGACGAATCTAATGGTATAAGATACATCGAAATCCAATCACTAGATCAATTTCCGAAATTAAAAAATATTAAATGGTTTTTAAGTAATAACTCCGTCAATATTGATCACAGAGAGATGAGCTTACCACCATTCGATTCGTCTCGATGAGGCGATTCCAACGAGCTATAAATCGTCTTTTTACAATCACTAGGTACCGAGAAATCTAGCAAAATGTTAAATGGCGCAGTAAACGTAAATCAAGAAATATTATAATGCCGATGTTTAACATTTTGTTGAATAACTCGTCAGCCAGTGATCGGAAAAGGATAAAACTACCACCATTCGATTCGTCTCAGTAAGACGATTCTAACAAGCTATAATACATCTTTGTACGATTATTAGATGCCAAGTTATTTAATATATTCTTTATATAACTGTGATTATAAACGGTTCTTTTTAATATAAGATTTTTAAGGATAGGTGTAATAGTGACTATAGATAGATTGTGACTATATAGGATAGATTTTAATAATAAAGTGTTTTGAATATTCAACTGGTGTGACTATATAGTAGAATGTGACTATAACGGGAGTAACTATAGAGGGAGTTGACTGTATATCTAAATATTACTACAGATTTATTAATATTTTAAATATATATTAACTAGTATTATAATTTTTTATTTTAATTATATAATAAAATTTATTATTATTCAATTAAATTTTGTATTGTTAAAAATAAATATAATATAATTATTATATAAAAAAAAAAAAATAATTATATAAATTAATTGTATTTATTAAAGAAAATTACTAAACTTAACCAGAAAAAATTTCTTTTTCTCTCCTTTTATTTCAATTTTTAATTAAAATATTGACTTGTATAGTAATTTAAAAATAAAATTATATATAAATTTATGAGAAAAAGGTTTTATTAAATTAAAAAAGGTAGTTGTTCAGATGGTTTTTGAGAAAATTACATAATTTTAATTTTTATAATTAAATTGTATTTTTCATAATAAAAATTTTTTTTAAAACCAAAAATTGCTAAATTTTTATGTGATTAATATCCAATTATATTTATTTTATATATTTCATAAAAAAAGTTTATTTTTTTTTAATTCTTAAGGAAGAAAAATTATCCCTTTGGTTAAGATTAGCAACATTATTTATTAAAATATATTTCTTTTTTATAAAAATAGTAATTATAATTATATAAAATTTTAAATATTTATTAGTATAACTAAAAATTGCAATAGTTATCCTATTTAAAACTTTTATTATTTAGAAAAATATATATAAATTACTATGGTGGCTGTCACCTATAAACTACACTAATATTATATAACTTCAAATTTTTATAAATTGTAAATTGAATAGTAAAAAGAAAAAACTAAACCAATAAAATGATAAAGCAACATGTACTGAATATTTTTATCAGATTATTTTATAGAATTTAATAAGAATTTTAATTAATATTATGGGTTAAAGTTGGATAATTTTATTAAGTAGCAATAATAAAAATATAAAATTTTGGACTAGTTTTCATGTAATTTTTATGGATTTTACAAAAATTCCATGGAAATCTATAAAAATTTCATGTAATATGACAAAAAAAAATTTTACCACTCACATGATAATTAAAATTTTAACAAAGTACTTTAAAAAATAAGTTACATTATACATGCTGCCCAAATTATTTTGAGATGTCATAATTATAATTTGGAATGCTGTAATTCATTCAGTTTATATATAATTTACTATGTAAAGTGCTAAAATAATTTGGGATGTTATAATTGAATTTGGAATTTTACTTATAATTACGGCATACAGCAGTCCAAAATAATTTGGATGGTATGTATAAGTTATACAATATAAATAAATAAAATTCAAATTTTGAACTATTTTTCAAAATTGTTATTTATAGATTGTAATTTTGTATTTAATATTTACAAATTATTTATTAGCATAAATCTTTCTACTAATTAGATGATATAAACCTATTCTTAAAACAATAAACATACAACTTGACTTTACATTGTGTTATTTTTTTAACAAATCTAAATATTTACTACTTTTTTTTTTAATCTTTAATTCTAAAGCTTGCTGAACTGTTTTTTTGGTTTGGATAATATCTATCATTAATTTCAAAACTTAAAATTTCATTATCTGATTTTTCTAATAATAATTGTGAAATATCAGTTACTTTCTGCCAACTACTTTGAATTCCATCCAATTTAACACTTTCTATCTTAATATTATCAAATTCAATTGCTATCACTTTTTTAGTATTTATCTTTACTAAATTAATTACTTTTTCAAAATTTGAACTTTGAGAAAACATCTGAAACTTTGGTTTAATATCTGTGTAAAGAGTAAGGATGGTGCCGCAAATATGTAATTGCGGAATAATTGCGATTTACGGTATTGCGAAACATTGCGAATTTTAATCTGCAAATTCGCAAATCCGCAATTATCTGCAAAACCGCAAATATTCTGCAAATCCGCAAATATTGCAAAGTATCGCAAATATTTTACAATTGAATTGCAGTACTTGCGATATTTGCGGATTTGTGAAATATTTGCGGATTTGCGAAATGTTCGCAAAAAAAACTATTTTTTTTTTAATAAAATATAATTACTATTTGAAATTACACAAGAAGACCAAACAACATCATGGCTGTCTAGCATATTAGATAGAAACACTCACGCCAATATAGTTATAGATAAGGATGGGTCTGCAAATAATTTCCAAAATCTGCAATATTGCGGATTTTAGAGTTGAATTGCGGTTAGTAACCCGCAATTCCGCAATTCTGATTGGCTGATAATTAAATTTTTTTTTAATGTCTTTAAATGATAATTTAATCAAAAAAAATTTTTTAATAAATTTATTTATTATTTATTAGAAACAATAAAACCATAATTTCTGAAATGGCGCAACTGCACCAAAAACTAAATCAAACACAGATAACAATGACGAACTTAATACTACTAATTAAAGTTCCAGCCAGAATCTACAAAAAAAAGTAGTGAAAGAATGTTAATAACGTTCTTACATAAGAAAAAACACAAAAAAACCCCGCTTCCTCCTCTAGAAACACCTACCGGTCTCTATTTTCAAGTTCCAGGCTGGAATCTATAAAAAAAAGAAGAAAAGAACGTTAATAAATGTTCTTACATAAAAAAAATAAAAAACCCGCTTCCCCCTTGAAAATACTCACCGGTCTCCATTTCCAAGTTTCAGGCTGGAATCTACAAAAAAAAGAAGTAAAAGAACGTTAATAAACGTTTTTACATAAAAAAAACAAAAAAAACCCCACTTCCTTTCCTTTAAAATACTCACCGGTCTCCATTTCCAAGTTTAAGGCCGGAATCTACAAAAAAAAAGAAGTAAAAGAATGTTAATAAATGTTCTTACATAAAAAAAACAAAAAAACCTGCTTCCCCTCCTTTTAAAATACTTAGTACCGGTCTCCATTTCCAAGTTTCAGGCCAGAATCTACAAAAAAAAAGAAGTAAAAGAACGTTAATAAACGTTCTTACATAAAAAAAAACAAAAAAAACCCACTTCCCCTCATTTAAAATACTCACCGGTCTCCATTTTCAAGTTCTGCATCATTTAATAATGAAAATTCAATGTTTATCAAATATGATGTTTTCAAAAATAAATTTTTATGATATCAGCCCCTATTTATTATTATGTCACGTGAAATAATCTTAGCAACATGATAAACGAAACTTCCTCTTCTTTATCCTTTTATTTTNTAGTGATATTACATAATCATTAAATACAATTCTCAGTTCAGTTCAGTTCAGTTTAAACTAAGTCAACTTGAACTGAACCGTGGTTCAGCGGTTCAGTTCAGAGTACGAGCAAACTGAACCATGAGTCGAGTTGACTCAGTTCAAACCGCGGTTCATTGAACCATAATCATCCCTAATATGTGGTGTTGACAGATTGCATTATTATACCTATCTATAAGATAACTAAAACTAGCGATAATCAATTTATGTATCAATACACAGCATTTGAGAATTTACAAATATGCTGATTCTGAACCTCCAACAGGATGGAAATACTTAATGATAATTATGGAGTCCTCTTAGGTTGAACCATCATTAAATTTTGACAGTGTTACTATAACTCTGAATCAATCTATTAGTGCAGGAAGAACTAGCATTATATACGAAGGAATTGACAGCAATAAAGAACTTGTAGTTGTAAAAATAGCAAAAAAGAATGAATACTTGTTTTGTTTTAAACAAGAAAGGAATGCATTGACTCGACTTTCAGAATTGAATTTACCGCATATTCCAAAACTCCTTCTAAGCAATATAAATACCCTGGTTATGACTCTTTTTTGTATGAAAGTCAAAAATCTGTGAAAGGAAGATATTAAAAAAATTATCAAAACCCTTAAAGTTGTTCATTCACAATACCACATTGTACATAGGGACCTTCAAAAATACAACTTTCTTCGTGATAATAATGGAAACATTTTGATTGCTGACTGGAGATACAGTGTAATGGAAGGTGATAATATGCCATTCGCTGGAGTGCTTAAATGTATGCCAGATGATATTCTGGAATCATTGGATAACAACAAAGCAATTAATTATAATTCAAGAATGGATTTCATATGTTTGGTACGATCACTTTACCTGATATTTCATAATCCAGTAATGGAGAGGTTTTCCTTTGATAAGGTACTTGAAAATAGAAACTTTAAAAAACAATTGCAAGAAATTAAAACTTTTTGGTTTTCTCATGGAAATTCTTTAGAATAGTGAGCTACAATCTATCAGGAAGCGAATGAAGCAAATTATGACAACTTACTCAGAAATCTTATTAACTTTTTTTAAGTTATTAGTGTCAAATGAAAAGGTTGTATAATTAGTAGAGTTAGTGGAAAAACATCATAATGTATGTATACAACCTAACACTTTATAATTTACTTTTCTTACTTTAGCATGTTTGATAGTTCATCATTATAATAAATAAAATATTTGTTATTCACAAATTGGATTTTATTTTTTAACTTGTGTACTATGCATGAATATGGGTGGTATGATTGTATTATACATAAAAAATGTTATATGCCAATTTTGTTTATTGCATTATACAGACATTAATGTGTTTTAACAATCCAAATACATCAGATTTAGAAAATGTGTCAAATAATCCATTTTTTGCTTGCTCAGAAATATCTAAAAGATGCCTGGACGGCCTGGTGAATTCCCTAAAAATAATATTACGATGATGAGCCAACCCATTATATATTTCGTCATCATCGGTCCCTAATCATCATCATCTTCATCCACCTCGAATTTGTCATTCCCATTAACTATCTCAGTTTCTTCATCATCAACTATTAACCCTAGAGCCTTCAAAAGTTTGTAATCTCCATCCACAACACTAATATCAGAATCAATTGGTAAGTTTTATTCCATAACTAATATAATACTCTAAATTTACTTATCTTAAATTTAGTGTCTGGTCAAAAATAGATTACATAAAAATCAGGTTATTATTATTGTCGTAATAATCATGTGAGATAGATTACCTGAAATGTGCAGAAGATATTTGGTAAAATTCTTGCCGAAATGAACAGGGACTGTGTGATGTGTGAATCACATATATATTTGCATTATTTTTTTTGACTTGATTTGCATTTATTTTTGTGTCATGCTTTAGCACTTCTGGCTGTTTTTGGCCACGCTATTAATAAAACAATATTCAGGTATGGATATTTTTCTTTCAGCTTAACACTCCAGCTAAGGATGGGCTCGCAAATAATTTCCAAAATTCGCAATATTGCGAATTTTTGAGCTGAATTGCGATTAGCAACCCGCAATTCTGCAATTCTAATTGGCTGATAATTAAATTTTTTTCTAATGATAATTAATAAAAAACACACTGGTTTTATAAATATAAATTTAATCAAAAAAAAATTTTTAATAAATTTATTTATTTATTATTTATTAAAAACAATAAACCATAATTTCTGAAATGGTGCAACTGCACCAAAAACTAAATCAAATACAGATAACAATGATGAACTTAATAATACTAATCAAAGTTCTGGGCTGGAATCTACAAAAAAAAGTGAAAGAATGTTAATAAATGTTCTTACATAAAAAAAATATAAAAAACCTGCTTTTCCTCTAGAAATACCTACCGGTTTCTATTTCCAAGTTCCAGGCTGGAATCTACAAAAAAAAGAAGTAAAAAATGTTAATAAACGTTACATAAAAAATAAAAAAAACCCGCTCCCCTTTAAAATACTCACTGGTCTTCATTTCCAAATTCCAGACCAGAATCTACAAAAAAAAAAGAAGTAAAAAAACGTTAATAAACGTTCTTACATAAAAAAACCAAAAAAAACCCACTCCCACTGGTAAAAAAATGGTCTATCCTACACATATCCTACACATATCTTACATATATCGGGTACTCAAAATGTAGAAGAAAGAACGTTAATAAACGTTCTTACATAAAAAACAAAAAACCCCGCTTTCCCCCTTTTAAAATACTTACCGGTCTCCATTTCCAAGTTTCAGGCTGGAATTTACAAAAAAAAGAACGAATTTTTTTTTAAAATAAAAAAAAAAATATTTAAAATTGCGCAATGCAATTAGTTGATTTGTACTATGCTGTCTGATAATCTAATCCAGATCATTAATAACTGTCGAATTAACTGGTCGATATGTTTCTTCTAAAAAATAAACTGATTTTTTTAAAAAATTTTATTAATGAAAAACTGAATTTTTTTTACTTTTAGTAATAAGAAGAAATTGGTTTCTTTATTAGTTAATTAAAAAATTACATTTATTAAAAATAATTATTCTTTTTTTTGCGGGCAATTCGCAATTTCGCAAATATTCCGCAATTCTGTAAAGTACCGCAATTCAACCGCAATTGAATTGTAATACTTTAGATCATTTGCGGAATTGCAGAATATTTGCAGAATTGCAGACAATTGCGAATTGCGGATTTGCGGATATTTAGACTTCAAAATTCGCAATGTTCTGCAATACCGCAAATCGCAATTATTCCGCAATTGCCTATTTGCAGCACCATCCTTAGTTATAGATAAGGTGTTAGTAAACGAAAAATCAGAAGGTTCGACTAAGAGACTGGCTACAGAATCGGGAGAAGTTAAGGAAGCAGTGGACAATGATTTCGCGAGTATGTTTAGAAAAAGGAACACACTTCAGAATTCTTTAACGCCACTTTGGCAACAAATTTACGAACCTGCAGGTAAATTCAAAGAAATAATGGAAGCTACAATAGAAAAGATTACTATGGAAAAATGGAACAATAGTACTGTTAAAGAATTAAATAAAAATTTGACTGCAGGGTTGTCCAGTATTAACTACAAAATAATTCTATAATTACCTGAGAAATTAGTCATCCTCTTAGTCAAGTTCAGAAATCTGACATTACAAACTGGACTTGTACCAAAGGCATGGAAAATATCGATCATTTTCCCTATTCCTAAGCCTACCAACTTTGAATATAATATTTTGAATACTCAACCTATTGCATTGCTGGACTGTTTTTGGAAGACCTTCACAAAGATGATCACGAACAGGTTGAGTTCAGTTTTGAAACGATATAACATACTACAGGAATACAATTGTTGTGGTTTACCCAGAGAATGTACAAATGAACCAATACACCTGGTTAATAATTTTATTGAGGATGCCAGAGAAAATAAAAAAGAACTATGGGTCCTCACATAGGATATGAAAAAGGCGTTTGATTCAGTTAGGTTAGAAGTACTAAATTGAGCATTGCTTCGTATTGACATTCCGGCATCACTGGTTGAATGGATTATAGCCCTTTTCAAACACAGATTCCTTAGAATAGCCACAGCATATGGGTTAAGTGATGGATTTATTGAAAATAACGGAATAGATCAGGGCGATGCACTATCTCTGTTGCTATAGCGAATTTTTTATGATCCACTTCTAGTAGAAATACAACAAACTAAAGATAGTGGATATAAAAGAAAGTTACTTGGCCAAATGATATTAATAACCCTACCACATGGACACATTACAGGCTTCAGGTTTAGGTATGTGCATATATGGATGATATGGTATTTTTAGAATCATCAAAATCCAGGATGCAAAAGATAGTAAATATAGCAAATGATTTCTATTTGATTAATGATATTGATATCAATGTTAAGAAATCAGAAATAATAATTATCAACCCGTCAGTAGAAAGGCATGATCAAATTATCGAATTAGGCTATGATCGCTCCATAGTTCAAGACACTAATAATGAAATAAGATACCTTGGGGTCTAGTTTTCTAACAAACCAAGTAGACGGTGATAGATGCAATGTTTGTCTATGATGGTCAAAAACTTTTGCGATACAGTTCATAGTAAATTTGTTCCAGCTGGACAATGTATTTACTTGATCAATAGAGTATTGATTCTCAGACTAATATATATAGCCCAAATCATGACACTGTCAGAACATGACTGGAATCAACTGTTCACTCCTATAATGAAATTGGTTAAAAACTGGATGAAATTACCCAAGAATACACCATCGTTTCTATTATTTCATGAGGGGTGTTTAGGTATAGATCACTCATGGAAAATCCATTGTATCAATATTATAACGGATTTAATGATTAAATTGAATAGTAATTCATACGTAGCGATAGCTACACAGATTAGGCTTAGAGACGCGCAACTTAAATCACTTATCATTGATCCAATTTTTGACTGTGATCTTCACGCAACGTCTTGGATAAAACTTCAAGCCCAGAAAAACGTCTCATTCAACGCATTAGTAATAGCTAAATTTCTTGACATTTCAATGGCGATAAACCTGATTGATAGATCAACTTGGAGTATATCAGGAGGGAAAGAGCTGATATTAAAGTTCTTTAAACAATATCAGCTTACAAAGTATATATATAGGATTAACCAAAGCTCACATTACCCAATATTTTATATTGATCAATTATTTATTAGGGGAACATATCTTATGACATGGAAACAATATCGTAGTTTAGCACTACTCCTGGTACAAGGAAGGACAGCTAGATGGTACCGTGATGTGGCCCATTTGTGCACATCAAGGACAGATAATTTAACAGTAAGCAATGATTTGGAGATTACAAAAGTTAACCATTAGGCCTTTTTATTAGATATTATACCAGATGCATGACACAAACAAGTCATTTTTGTTAGAAAGCCTTTGGCTAATTCAGATGCATGGTTAATTGGCAAAGTTAACAAAATACATCATCATGAACAGGGGATTTCAGTGAGCTATTGTCCAGGATTAAAGTTGTTTGTCGAAATTAGTGAATTTCGTCATATCGAAATTGTCAAAATTATTTTTCCATTTCGTCATTTGCATTTTAGTCAATTTTAATAATAAAATAATTTCGTCATTTCGTCATGTCGAAATGTCGAAATTATTTTTACCATTTCGACAATAGCCTTTTTATTTTTGGCAAGCAACTTTATCCAGGATACAATGATAATAGAACAATTGGATGGCAGGATACCGGACGAGTTATACTGACTCATTGCTGTAAGAGAGCAATTTTAGATAGAGTCTCTAATTCGCGTGGTTGGAGTTTTCCTAGTGAATGGTTATCTTCAACTCATCATCCTGACATTTTATTATCCAGAGATAGATCACCAACATCAACGCCAAGTCCTATAATTAACCTACCACTGGTTCAGGACATATGGATTCACAGATGGATAGATGATGATGACTTGAAATCAAAACTTAACTTATGGATATTAGAAATATATTAGAAGAGAGAACATCGGTAGAATATTACACAGATGGTTCGCTCAGGACAAGTATCCCTACATTAAGGGATAAACAAGATCCCAATTTAGTGTACACAAAAATGGGTGCAGCGTTTTGTGTCAATAATGAACCTGCCTTATCTGCCCAAGCAAATTTATCATTATGGTCCTCTTCTATACATGCAGAACTAGTGGCTATTTTTCTGGCATTACTCACAGGTCCTATGAATGCAAAAATTAAAATATATACAGACAGTCAAAGTGCCATCTATATGATTAATAATAGACATAATAAATCGGATAAAAAATTACTGAAACAGTTTAATTCTTTAATTTTACTTAAGATAGATATTCTTTTACAGGAAAAAAAGATGGATCTAGTGTTAGTGAAAGTTAAGGGACACAGTGAAGATGTTATGAATGAAATGGTAGATAAATTAGCTAAAAACACAAGTAACAACAGCGGTTACTTTAACAATAGATTTAACTATAGCAATAAGAAAGTCAGATTTTTTCCAATTTTTAAACAGATCCCTATTGAATACAACTTAAGGAAATTTATCAAAACTCTAATAAATACTAAAGTGGCAGCAGAATGGTCAATGTTAAAATCAAATGGACATGAAACTCCAATTGATTGGAATATAACTTGGAACTTAATTTATAGATATAAAGGGTTTAATTGTATTTCAATTAAAAAACAGGACCCCGGATATTTAATATAAAGGTCATAATGGACTTTTGGCCAAAAACACCCCTTTTTGCTGAAACTCAAAAAATCGTTTTTTGTAAATATCTCAGCATCCAGTAATTCAATTTTAATGAACTTTTTTTATTTTGTAGCCCTCATTTAGCTCTACAATTTAAAAAAAAGTTCATCAAAATTGGACTACTGGATGCCGAGATATTTACAAAAAATGATTTTTTGAGCCCTGAAAAATGGGCCAATCTGCCGAAAGTGTGACTTATGACCTGTTTTGGAGATATCCGGGGTCCTTAAAAAACATTGGCACTTAATATTTATTGTTAAACTATTTGCTAAACTTCTTCCTATAGGTACTATTCTTCTACAGCGAAAACTAAATCTATACAAAGAGTTTGTCTGTCCAAGGTGCAATGCTAACAAAAAAGAAAACAAACATCATTTCATTGAATGTGAGGCCAATAAGGACTTATGGCCTATAATCAAAAGCAGAATGCAAAATGATATGATTTCCATAATTCAAAAATGGAGTAATACAACAGAGGATACACCTAAGATTATAAATAAGAAATTAAACCAGATACTAGGAGCACAACATGATGATAAAAAATTTTTTGATTTTTGCTTACTGGCCTTGGAAGCTAAGATTAACACTAATTTTTCCAAAATATCAAAACAAATATTTGGATTCTCAGAGTCAAAAAACATTTTATTTTTGGTTTCACTTTTGGATTCCTTCATCATACACTTTAAGGAATTAATTTGGTTGCCTAGATGTAATGCTACTAATGCATGGGAAAAGGCTAAAAATATTGGAAAAAAAGACAAATTAAATGAATCTGAAAATATGGATCATTATTTTAAATTCCCTCATCAATAAATCAAGCAATTAAAACAGAATAAACAACAATCAAAGAAGCATAATATAACAAATTCACAGGAAGATCAAATGGTAGAGTTTGGTGATACATCATTGGAATTGGATTCAGTACAGCTTGAAAACTTAAAAAATGAAAATCTCATATTATCAAAATGCTATAGAATGGGAAAAAAAGCTCAAGATCAAATGTGTTTATTAATTAATAATAACTGGTGGTTTAGTTGGGCTTATAAAAAGACAAAAAACGTTGTTAATAATGTTATAATTGATTTAGCAACAGTATAATTAAAAACTTAAATTGGAGTTATATATAAATTTACCAAATTTGAAAGGAAAAAGGGAGGAAAAAAAAAAAAAAAAAATAATAATAATAATATTTATAATAATAACAACAATTTCTATAATATAATCAATAGACATAATATTAATTATTTTTATAATCAATAGATACAACACTAATTATTTTTTATTCTATATTTATTCTTATC